AAATTAGATTTTGTCAATTAATTCTAACTCTTTAGAAATACAAATATTTGTCTTTATACAAACATTGGTGTGACCTTTTAGGTTCACAATTAATACTAGTAGTGGGTTTACAACTCTTTGTAATTTGAGTTAATCTTATTAACTCTTATTCTTGAATTAACCCCTTTAATTCACGAACCCACATATCATGGGAACACCTAGAAAGTAGCATGAATCTAGTATTAAGTGAATAGCGAGTAAACCTATTTCGATTACAAGTACATACATGTAGAATCCTTTCGACATCCAATTTCCTGATTAAATCTTGGGTATGATTTTAGTCGAAACCCAAATTGATTTAATAACTTTGATTCTATTTCATATTTAGTAATCTGTGTATGAATCTCTATTCATCCCGCCTTGGCCAAGGACGTTGAATTACTAACTATGAAACACATAGGAAAGTCACTTATCTTCATAAGTGTCAAATCCTTTGTAGGCCACTAACAAACTTCCATACATATTAAGATAATACCCAAAATATCCCTTTATACGATTGTGCTAGCAACTAAAAGGATAAATCAAAGTAGAATGTAATATGCACAAAGTTACCATTGTGCCTCAAGTCTTAGGATTAGTCATGTACTATTGTAACATGAAAATACTTATTCGACAAGACAAATCTTTCATTAAGTATTTTCATATGGTCATGTTCAGTGTACTTGTTCTCTAACAAGCACCCACATATATGTATTTGCGTCGCACCCTAATGTTGATGGAATGCAACATTCTTGTCCAACAAGCATACATACTATGTGCAAGTCTTTTATGGATTATTCGATATCCCATTTCGAAACATCCTTCGACTTGGAACTTTATTTAAAATCACAGCTTTCAAGGTATGTTCCATGATCACCATCTCTATGCACAACCATACCTTATAACCATAAGTGATTTAAGGATTTTATCTTAAGTGCAATTATAGGATAAAAACTTACTCTTAAGATAAAGTAATGTCTTATTTATAATATAATTCCAATATATAGTATTTACAAGTAGAATAAGTCCAATCCGATTGGAACGCCGGGTGACCTACTCTAACAGTAATATGTTTATAACTGAAAACATAAATCAGCACTTACCTGTAGTCGGCGAGGCGTGAGCGTGACGGTTCAGGTTTTTCTGAAAATTCCTGACTTATAAAACCTTTCAGAGACGCAGAAATGTGCTCTGATACCAATTGTAACACCCCGCTATTAACTGAAATCAGAGTACGCTTTTTCACAAACTTTCTAAATAAAGTAAATAAAATATTTATTTTTGCAAAATCTGGTTCAGAGTGCTACCGTGAAAATCTGACTTTTCTGAAAACTGTTAATTTTTAAACTGATAATAAAAACGGTTATATAATGTATTAACCGACTACTGTCGGATTAAAAGCTGAGTTCAAGTACTGAAAACTGAAGCGGTATATTAGCGTGGCCAAAACATAACATATACATCATAACAAATATCCTGAACAGCTCGTCAGCTCACTCCTCGTCCCCGACTCGGTGACCTGAAAAACATGAAATACGTGGGGGCGTGAGCACTAAAACACTGTGCTCCGCAGAAACTCATATTAAAGTAAAACAGTGAAAATAATATGTAATATCCCGATATTTTATCGGTATAAATTTACGTTTAATTCTGATATAATAATGTTATCGTTTATTATTTTCGGAATTAATTATGTTCAGTCGGAATTACCGAAATCTATTTTCGACGTACCGTTTACGTTCGAAATAATTTTGGTAATTAAGTATTATGTTTAATTAATAATTAAACATAAAGCTTAGTGATTAATTGTTTATTAATCACCATACTAGGGTTCAATGCCGTGAGATTAGTCCTAAGTTTAGTCTAAGCCGTGAAGTGTTAAGCATATTTTCCCAAAATTTAAGTTAATACCGTGAGCCTCCTTAAGGTAAAGGAAATAGGTTTCCACCAATCAATTTAAGTCACTTGTAAGCCTAAGAAGGTGCTTAGTCAATCATTAAGTGCTTGAGATTTTAGCAAGTGGCAAGATGGGGAGGTAGCCACGCCAAGCACACCTCATACCAACACCCCATCGGCCATATTTAAAAGGGAGGAGATGAACCAATTTTTCCCCACTTTTTCCCCTTAAGAATTGAGCAACACCTTCAGCATATTTAAGCCCCTTTTCAGCAGCTATTACGTTAAACAATTTCCCTAATTTTCTTACAAATCACACGGCAAAGCTAAGCCTACGCACGGCGCACACGCAAAGCAAAGGAAGCACGCCTTATTCTCCAATTTCAGTCGAGTGTTTCGAGAGGTAATTCTCTCCTCAGTTCCTATTCATGATGATTAAGTCATTTCAGAGTTAAACGTTCGAGTATTATGCGAGAATATGTGAAAAGGCCGTGCCTAACTCCGACCATGTCTAAGTAAAAGCATAACCGAGTAATCTTTTATTTCTTCCGGCAACGTTCATTTAAATGTTCAGTATAACTAGATTTAGGTTCAGTATGATCAGCTTTTTGAGAAAAGATGAAGTATTGCCAATGAAACGGCCCCGACCGTAGCCAACGCCTATCGCGTGGCCTCGGGTGGCTTCGGGCCGTATCTTGTGCTTTCAGTTATCCGCATGTTCTGTTCGTGTGGATAGGTTTTAAATTGTCTTAAATGATGTTCAGGTCTCGATTGTTCGGAGGTTGCCGGAGAAAAGAGGTATTTCGGCCGAGAGACGGCGTATAGCCGTCGGCGGCGCACGGGCGTCCGCCACGGCCCTCTCATGTTCATGGCGTGTTTGTTGTATCAACATGTCATCATTAGTAATTATATTCATGTTAAGTTCAGTTAGGTTCAGAATTGGTCGAAGTACTTGCTAAGTTGGTCGAGTGATGGCCGTAGGCCGTAGGCCTCGCACGTAGCGAGCCTACCACGACCGTGGGATTGACCCAGCCATCAAATTCAACCATTTCATGTTAAATTCAGTTTAATGATCATATTAAGTTATAACATGTTCAGTTAGGTCAGTTTGGTCGGAGGAATTCGCCGGACGGTCGGCAAGGAGTCGACCGGGGCCGCGCTACCGCACGCAGCGGCAGCAGCGCCTCGGCCAGTTGATGAAGGATCTGGTGTTGCGTGTCCTCGA